TTAGTATTTTGATTTTATACCAAACTTTATTTCTGTGTTGGTGATATAGTGTGATATCCTTACTGGGTTAGTATAGCTCATCCTTTATTTAACTATTTTAGATCAAGAGAACCAGGTTCTAGAGCCCGATCCGCAGGAGGATTGCGAGTAGATGCTAGATTTATTTATTTCCCATTCATTTCCTTATTCTTGTGTTTTTTTCAAAAGAGTGAATTTCGTAACGTTGTTTGGTACTTTAAATTATTTGTATAAGGAATATAAATCTTGAACATTTATTACACTTCCGCACTTTAATTACCTTTTATTTCTTTTGGATATTTTTGAGGTCGTTACATAATTGCTTCAGAATGATAAATATCTAACGTACTATGTATATCTATTGTAACGAAATAATTATACAATTTTTGCATATAGCTAAAAAATATCCATTGTAATAGAAAATAATGTAAATAAGTAACGTCGTACTCGAAGACTTCTACTGTTTATTATAATAACATAAAAAAGTATTTAATTTTATAAAATAATAGCATAATTAATATTATGATAATTTTATAAATACTTACTACAAAAATAAGCCTATTACTTTAAATTTTAGGTTATTGCATTGAAATTTTATTAAAATCGAATTATAAATTTTTTCTGCTCTAATAATTTTTCACTGAAGATTTGAGTAAAAGTGATTACCGGTCCAAAATTTAGACTAAACCAAATTGGACTTAATTGATAATCAATTAAAGATATAAGCAAAATTGAAAGTTCGATCGTTATAATTTTTTTGGACTGGATCAAACCTGAGTAAATATTTTTAGGTTTTATTTAGTTATTAACTAAAATAAATAATTTTTTTTAATCGTCTAGTGAAAAAGTTAAAAAAATTCAATAAAATAAAATGAAAATTAAAATTATTTCTTATTTAATTTTTAATCAATTTTGTAATAATTCTAAAATATGTATATTTGGTAATTCTTTTTTCTTAATAATAAAAGGTTACAAGCCGGTTGAGATTTTGGATAAAAGCTAGTCCATCCCGACTTCCGAGGCCCCAGTGGGGATCTAAACGGCCTCGTTTGGTCTGGGATGCCACCAAACCGCGTGTTTGGATATACGAGTGATTGTATACGGTAGTCGAACAACATGTCGTTTGGAAATAGAAGTGGCGTAGGATAATAAAGATGCGCAGGAGCTATAAATTGGTCCTCATCACCTCCCTGCGCAAATTAGGGCTACGCCTCGGAGAATGTCACCAAAATTGATTTGTCATTGGTACTCTCTCTCTCTCTCTCTCTCTCTCTCTCTCTCTCTCTCTCTCTCATATTCCGGTATATATATATATATATATATCGGGGGTCTTATTCTGAAGGCAATAAATTTGAAACTGAAGAGAGAAGTCTTTGTGTTTGTTCTATCCGTTCTGTTGTACGTATAAAAGCTTGATTAGCAGAATGAGTTAATGTTTAAGTCGATTAAGTGGTGGATATGAATGTCTATAATTCTGTTTCGAGGTAAAAGAAAAAAGCAGTAAATGGATATCTCCCATTGTTGGATTTATGCGACTGAATTGAGCTCTCTTTATACGAGTGCTCTGTTCGATATGTGCAATTTAAAGAAATGCTTTATATGGTGTTGGAGGACGAACCCGGATTATGATTGATTTTTTTTTTTGGGTGTCATTCGAGTGAGTATATACATATATATATATATATATATATATATATTCATCTAAATCAGGCAGAATGAAGTGTTAGTTTTACATTTTTTTGAAGCCATGGTGTTCTCTAAAGCAAAGGCTTAGAAGAGCTTTCAGTGCTTAATAAGTTGAATGCAGCGGATTATATAGTTGAAAACATCATTTATCTTTCATGCTTTTGTTGGAAGGCCTAGGATGTCTGATGAATATGGAGCATTTTGATGCTTGGTTAATTAGCAAAGATGTTCTAGATGGCAAAGCTGTTACGAATATACTGATTCTATGACGCTAATGTATCATCGTTTTCATCATTTTGGTCTTTAACAAGCTACTAAACAATCATTGCGTGCTTATAGCTAAAGATTGGACTTGCACCCCATACTTTGGACTTCTTTATCATGTTCTTAGATCCTGTTTGTTGAACAAGAAAGGTAGGGATTTTGGAAAAATCTATTATTTTTAAGTTCGATATTGATTGAGGTCAAATTAGGTAATAATTAATTTCTTGTCTTTACATATTGGCTCAGGAAATTCTGTTGACCAAGTGAATTAATGTGGAAAGTATAATGTCTGACGAGGCTGGACAGATATTGATGGTTTATGATGATCCCTCAGACCAACGATCTTTGTCTTTAGATGATACAAGCAGCACAGAGGAATCACCAGATGAAATTACGTTCTCTCTTGAATCCGCTAATGATGCAGTTCCATATATTGGGCAAACATTTCCCACCCATGATGCTGCTTATGAATACTATAGTGAGTTTGCAAAGCGATGTGGCTTCTCAATACGTCGTCATCGAACTGAGGGAAAAGATGGCATTGGAAAAGGACTAACAAGACGTTATTTTGTCTGTCACCGTGCTGGTAACACTCCTGTCAAGACCTCAAGTGAAAGTAAACCTCAAAGAAATCGAAAATCCTCTCGCTGTGGATGTCAGGCATATTTGCGAATAAGCAAAATCACAGAATTAGGAGCTACAGAATGGCGGGTCACAGGTTTTGCAAACCATCATAATCATGAGCTCTTGGAACCGAATCAAGTTCGTTTCCTCCCTGCATACCGGACCATATCAGATGCGGACAAAAGCCGAATCCTTATGTTTGCCAAGACAGGAATTTCAGTGCAGCAAATGATGAGGCTTCTGGAACTTGAAAAGTGTGTGGAACCAGGATATCTGCCATTCACTGAGAAGGATGTAAGGAATTTACTTCAATCATTTAGGAAGTCAGATCCTGAAGATGAGGGCATAGACTTACTGAGAATGTGCAGAAACATCAAGGAGAAAGACCCTAACTTCAAGTTTGAGTACACACTTGATGCAAACAGTAGGCTAGAGAACATTGCCTGGTCATATGCATCATCAATCCAATCATATGAGATATTTGGTGATGCAGTGGTGTTTGATACAACACATAGGTTGACAGCATTTGACATGCCCCTTGGAATATGGGTTGGAATAAATAATTATGGTATGCCTTGCTTCTTCGGTTGTGTGCTTCTACGAGAAGAAAACTTGAGGTCATTGTCATGGGCATTGAAGGTACAAGTGAAAATTATGATTTTCTTGCAGTCAATCTAATCAAACTAAATTATATATTTGATTGCTGGATTTACTTGGTTAGTGTATGTATTTTGTGTTTTGATTTCCTCGCACTTACAAAAGCAAAATTGGAAGGTGAGGAAGGGAAGTATAAACTCAAATGAAATGGGGATGATGAATAGGATAGGAGGCAGGTTATAGTTGATGGGCCTAATGCTTACCATGGAGAGTTATGTGAAGCATCTTTTCATGTATAATATGATTTGTAAAAAGTTGATATTTCTACGAGGCAACCTTGGAACACCAGGAAGCCTGCCAAATGGCCTTTGTTCCCTGCCTGTTTTCTCATAGTCAATTTAATGGAATTGGTGCTTTTTTTGTCTTTCTCTACTAGTATAAATACTTATATTGAGATATGTTTTCTGTCTTACTTATCTTGTCTAGCCTGTCACTCTTCTTTGGATGAAAGATTGGCTTCTTTTCTGATCTTATGAGCTTCTTAAACATGCACACAGATACAGTTCATTTTGATGACCTTTATTGGCCATCTATTTATATTATTGTTCTGTTTTCCTATTTCGCATACAAAAGGCGTTCATAGGGTTTATGAATGGGAAGGCTCCACATACAATATTAACAGACCAAAATATGTGTCTCAAAGAAGCCATTGCCATGGAAATGCCAGCAAGTAAACATGCACTGTGCATATGGATGATTGTGGGAAAATTTCCATCCTGGTTTAATGCTGTTCTCGGAGAACGGTATAATGAGTGGAAGGCTGAGTTTTATCGACTATACAATTTGGAGTCGATTGAGGATTTTGAACTGGGATGGAGGGACATGGTTAATTCATTTGGGCTGCATACTAACAGGCACATTGCAAACCTGTTTGCTTTGCGCTCTCTGTGGGCATTGCCCTACTTAAGAAGCCATTTTTTTGCGGGAATGACAACAGCTGGCCAGTCAAAAGCCATTAATGCCTTCATTCAGAGATTTTTGAGTGCACAAACCCGTCTGGCGCATTTTGTAGAGCAAGTATGTTTTCTCTTGCTGCTTCTGGCTAAATGAATTTATTTTTATCGTAATAGAAGTTATGTTGTGCGCCCACATCAGTTGGATTTAGGAGTCTTACTTTTGACTGATGAAATAATTGTTTCTGTTAAATTGAAACTTCTCATTTTTCTTTTATCCTGAAGAGCGACAATGTTAGTAATTTGTTATTATCCTTTCAGATATGTAAGCATGCTAGGATTTTTTTGGCTGCATTGCCTCCACTCTTTCCAGGTTATGGCATCTTCATTATGTGTCATTAAATTTTAACTTTGTAGTTAAGACCATGATTACCACTGTATCTTGGAATTTACACAGCTAACCTAAATCCTAACATCATTTTGGTTAAGAAATTGTTGGAAACTGTGTTACGTGATATAGGTCTTCCATACTCTTTCATATGCTTATCATCCCTTTGGTGGAAGATTTTGGTTTATGTTGAAATGGTTTATTTGTCACTGACACATCATGATGCAACTAGGTGGCTGTTGCAGTAGACTTTAAAGATCAAGCAGCAGAACAACAAACGATGCAGCAGAATCTCCAAAACATTTGTCTGAAAACTGGTGCTCCTATGGAATCACATGCTGCCTCGGTCCTCACCCCATTTGCCTTCTCCAAGCTCCAAGAACAACTTGTTTTGGCCGCTCATTATGCATCATTTCAGTTGGAAGATGGTTTTCTTGTGAGGCACCACACTAAACTGGATGGAGGCCGAAAAGTCTATTGGGTTCCTCAAGAAGGAATCATAAGCTGCAGCTGCCAACAGTTTGAGTTCTCTGGAATACTATGTCGGCATGCTCTCCGAATCCTTTCGACAGGTAATTGTTTTCAAATCCCAGACAGGTATCTTCCCCTTCGTTGGCGCCGAATAAGCTCATCTTCAGCAAGGCCTATGCAGAACAATCCAAATGATCATGCAGAAAGAGTTCAGTTATTACAGAGCATGGTGTCAACACTGGTGGCAGAATCTTCAAAGTCAAAGGAGAGAGTGGATATAGCAACTGAGCAGGTTTCCATCCTTTTATCTCGCATAAGAGAGCAGCCAGTTCTTCACAAGGTCTGAGAGATATATCCCACATGCACAGGAATCTTTGGAATTTATGTCAAGACAGTAAGTGAATGCTGAAATCTGAGTTCTTTTGGAAAACACAGCAGTTTTGGTGAAGCATATATACGTAGTAGATCAGCAAAGCAGGGTTTGATGTATAGATGAATCCTCCAATTGTAGTGGCAAGATCTGGCCTATGTGGGATTTTATTCATTTCGAGCTGATCTTGTGCATTTTGTTATGTGTAATCGAAATCCTACTAGGAGTCTTAGTTGTGAGCAATGGCTGTACGTATGTTTCCGTGGGGTTTGCCTGCTTGTTTGGGTTCCACAAAGGTTCTTACATGTATAAATATCTACAGACTTGTGTTCTATGTGCATTCATGTCTTTTTCCCTTTTATTCTTTTCTTATTCTCTCTTTGTTTATCTTTTTTTAATATATTAAACTATTTAGTTATTAACTCACCTTACTAAACCGTAGCATTCTTTTAAATTTATGAATGGAAACGAAATCATAACTGAAATTTTAAAAACTACTAAAAGTAAAATCAAACACACACACACACACACACACATTTATTTGAATCGATTCAATTTTGCCATTACAAAGTTGCACTTTTTACTGGGTGATCTTATGATCTGTTACAAGAGGAATTTCGTAGTCTCCATAGACTAAGTCTTTGATGACCAAAATGAGTAACCGTGCAGGGATGGGGAAATATGGTTCCACTAAATCAAGTCTTAATGCTAAATTCTGTAATCAGTTGATTGTAGACTACTTTCCTATAATTTTGCTCTGAAAGTCTCATTTTTATGCATTTCTCTTTTCTCTTATGAGATCGTTTTCTTGTTTTCACAATTGTTGGGCGAGGACTAGGCAGCATATCGGTCGAATTCCAGATTGTAACGTTCATTCAGCTAAAAAATTTCACAAATTCTACGATATAATTCAAACAAATTGTCTCTCAATTCATTATTAAGTTCTTACTCGTCTCTATTACTATCCTATTCCCTAATAATTCGAGTTAAAATTTTATACCCATTACATGTTTAAAAATAAATAAATAAATAAATAAACAAGAACAAAAATTTAAAAAAACAAGTTCCCAGTCCTAGTTGAGCAATCCTCCAATATCGACAAACTGAAATATATCCCATGTTATTAATTATCTACTTCCTTTTCTGTCATAGAAAAATTGTATGTATAGTCCTGTTATATTTAACAAAATAAATATTTATAAATTCTTAACATGATATCAGATGTATAGGTTAAGAAACTTTATACTCTTTTATAAATTCTATTTGATTTTCATTACTAAAGTAAGCAAGAAAATTTTAAAGTAAGTTCGATTCCATTTCTGACCATTAATTACCTTTACATTCTGTTTGGATAAATTTTAATAATGGTTAATTAATATATGATAATGACAGTAATTGAACGACAGTAATATAGTATGTGAATGATAATTTTTTTTTATATTTAGATGATTATATATTAATGTATGTTAGTGACATATTTTTGTTTGAATGATACGATGATATGATTGTATTTTTAATTAAATTATTAATTTATCTCTACCTATTATATATAATAATAAGTAGTATAAAATAAAAAAAAAATTGTTTATTGATATAATTACATTTGTGTTTAAATAAATAATTATTATAAATTAAATTTTTATATTTAATAAAATAAATAATAAATTATGAGAATAAAAATAAAATTAAATATATTATATGAGGTTATAAAGGAGAAAAAAGTAACCTGTCAGTCAAATACCATCGATTCGGTAGTTTTAAAATTTATCAGTCAGATACCGTTTGTTACCATTAAAAGTTGAAACAAACGTAATTTTCTCATACCCTTAAAATATCATACATTAAAATTCTATCATTTATTACGATTCAAACAACGCGTTAGTGGCTGGCCACCACAGTCATGAGTAGCCAAAAGGAACTGCTCAGTCTCCGACTGCTACAATTGCACACCTGCACTTGCACAGTCATTGTCTGGCCAACACTGGTACAAGCATGTACCTAGTTTCCTTCGCCACATGCCAAGCCTCCTCTGCTGCGCACAGCCAGCCACACTCATAACTAACCACGGCCCCTCTTGCTGTCTTCGTCTCTGTTAAGGTTTCTATGACTTGCATTGTTGCCCTCCTGCTCAATCGTTTTGGGTAGTGGTTTCGTCGAGGGCATATCACCATATCTACTGGTAATATGCTTCTCGTGACTTCTAATTTGACCTTATTTGTTCTGCAACTATTAAAATATGTTGGATGTTACATCCTAAAGTATATGCACAAATTCTAACATAACAAAATTTTAGTCAATTCAGATTGTTTATTGCTTCACCAAAAAGACTATTTGAGTTGATTATAATTAATTTAGATCACTTACCTTTGACGAGGAAGACTTAATAATTATGTCATGGCTCTAGAATTCTATGTCACTAAAGATAAGTAAAATATTTTTTTCTTCTCAATTTGACTTTCAAGATCAGAACACACAAAAAATTATTGAACATGCTCATACTATAAGTAAATTATACTACTTTGATGCACCTGATGGATCTTTCTTTGTTATTTCCACTGATCTAACCACAAGTTTTGTCTCTACCACAAGACTTGACCACTAATCTTTTTCTATTTTAAAGATTATATTTTTATTTATTATTTAAAATTTCTAATTATAAAAATTTACATTGCAATGTACGGGATTTAATGAAACGCAAAGTGTGCAAAATTTCTTATTAGCAATAAAAAAAAAAAAGTATACTTCTATTCTTTTTTAAAGTCGTAGTGATGTTTGGAGGTTTAGATATTTTTGAGATTTGATAATTTGTGTCATTTGCTAATAATTGCATTAAGGGTACATAGTTTTTCAGACTAAAATCCAAAATAGATGTTACCCATATTGTACCCTGAATTTATAAAATGATAAAAACTAAATTCAGGATTCACATAATATAATTTCACACTGGCAGTTTAAAGAATTTTATTAACATACAATTATCTTTTTTTTTTTTTTTTTCCACTAAGAAATGATTATTCATTAATCTTTATGCATCTTTAGTTCACAGCAAAATACAAGATAGATGAGACAATTAAGAGGTATAAAACAAGATTGGTAGTAAAAGATTATACTCAAAATCTATGGAATAGATTGCCAAGAGACGTCCGTACTAGTAATTAAGATGAGCATGGAGCGTATCTTATTATCCTTGTATGTTGATTTTGATTGGCAACCATAGCAATTTGATCTAGAGAATGTATTCTTGCATGAAGATTTGTAAAAAAAAATCTATTTGGAGATTCTATCAGGATTTGACAAAGGGACAGTGTAACGGCCCCGGAAATATTAAAATGAGTATTTAAATATATCAAATGCGGAAGCGAGATCAAAATTTCAGTTAACATCCCTTACACGAAAAACCAAAAACGTACTTAAAATATAAAAGATTAAACTAACTAAGAGAGAAACTCGAAAATAAAACTATGAGTATGACTACAGAGTCTCTAGGCATCCCCTTCGTCGTCCTCCTGCGGAACGGGCTCGGGAACCATGTCTTCCTGATCTGAAATGGTTAAATAAGGAGTGAGCTACACTAGCCCAGTAAGAACATCACGATATCTCACCGTCACGGAGGTAAAGGTGGGTAGAAAACACAAAAAGACCAATGGAGCATAATTTACAATAAACTCGTTTATTAACATGAAAACCTTTACCATCCACTTACCTCGGTGGAATTTATGAAAACAATATAAGAAAAATAATAACATTATCATAATCATGGGATAATATAAGCTGTAAAACATAACACTTATCACGCCTCTTGTAATTCAATCATTGTACAACATATCCTTTTTCTCATTTACCAGCCTACTAGTATCCGTGGGGGTCCATAGGGGTTCCGCTACCCGTTAACCTTTAACATTCATAATCAGTTTCCAGGGCCGTCCCCATACCCCGTCCGGTATGGGCGCCAAAACCATGAACCTCAATACCCCGTCCGGTGTGAGGGTGAAACGGGCCGTCCCCATACCCCGTCCGGTATGGGCGCCAAAACCATAAACCTCAATACCCCGTCCGGTATGAGGGTGAAACGGGCCGTCCCCATACCCCGTCCGGTATGGGCGCCAAAACCATAAACCTCAATACCCCATCCGGTATGAGGGTGAAACGGGCCGTCCCCATACCCCGTCCGGTATGGGCGCCAAAACCATAAGATCTCCATACCCCGTCCGGCATGTGAGACCACAATCCCGGTAGGGTTCCCTACGGACCCGGTCCGTCCACCAACTCCCAGGATATCTAGTCAGGCTAACCCCATAATCCAATTATCAGTCTACACAATCTTTCATTTTCCTTTTCCTCAATAAGCATCATCAATTCACATTTAAGAAAGCAAATCGTAATTCATGCCAAACAGACAACATACAGTATCAGTTCTTCAGTCTTTCAACCCATAAATAAATAAAACAGTAATATATGCACTCGAAGCTATAAAATGAACACATCAAAACCTCATAATGCATTTAATGCTGTAAAACAGGCCAAATAACAGTAAATCATAAATCACACTAGACTCGGGCTCCATTAGCAACCTTAAGCAATTTCACACATGCGTTAATTCAAGAAATACCGTTTTATCATTTTGAACTTTAATACCGTGATAGGAAATAGGGTGAGGGGTCCTTACTTGTTTTCGGGATCCGAATACGATTCACAGTGCGCCTGCAGGCTGTCCCTAATTTTCCCTGAATTTTTTCCGGGGAACTGAAACACACTAACAGTACCTGCACGTGTTCCAAAAAAAATCCAAATTAGGCCCAGGGCCTCTTTCAGCCCAAATCGCAACTCCGGCACGGCGGCTCCGCCGTGCTCCGGCGACGGCGCCGCCGCTAGCGGCGGCGAGTCGCCTCGGGTTGACTGTTTTCGGCCGTTTTTGGCCGAATTCGGCCACACTCGCATTGGTCCTTGTCAGAAAACAACCCTAGGGCCCTCGGGGGGCCAAAAAATCACGGAAAAGCGGAGCTTACCGGCGGCGGCGCTCTCGGGTACGGCGACTCTCCGGCGAGGTTCGTGTTTTAG